GCCCCCGGTAAGCTCTATATCAGTGTTTACTGTTTTTTATTTTTTTTTCCCCCCAGTTTCCATATTTTTTTTTTTTTTTTTTTTTTTTTTGTCTTTTGTCTTTTTCCGTGTCCGGCAACGGATCGCAACCCTCAGTGTTGCCCCCGTACCGGACCGGGGACCGGCAACGGGATCGCAACCCTCGGTGTTGCTCCCGCGCCTCGCTCAGCCAGTGAGCGGGAACTGGTCTGTATGTGGGATCCGAACCCTCGGGTGGGAGCGCCGCCGCGCTTCCCAAGCGGCGCACTATCCAGTGCACCACCGGGCCGGCCCAGTTACCATATTTTTCAATTGAAAAATATTTTTACATGTTTCCAATTGTGAGAGTTGTCATTTTTCTCTGCCATAATGTAATGGAATTTTTAGGATGTTTTAATGGTTAAGGGAAACAGCAAGGCAATTTAAAACTCTAGAAAACCTACCATTCTAGAAAATCTACCAGATCTGCTAGACTTAGACATAAATCTTTTCAGTTTGTAAGCTGTGGTATGAATATCAAGAACACCTAAACATCCCATTTGCTATAGTTTATGGTTGCTTTTACTTTTATCATTCTTCTTTAGTCTCATATATTTTTTAGAAGGCAAATTATATGTTTACTAGAAATGCTCTTTTTGACATCATGATTGATTTGTCCTTTTTAAAAAAATATTTTAAAAAGACATGTACATTATATTTATAATTCTGAGTCCTACTTTATATAAGGAGGAAAATATCTGACACTTCTTATTTCTCTGTGTCTCATTTCTGATTTGGGCCTTGTTAGGTTGTGGAGATGTCGGAGGTTCCAAATAAACCCACACAACTGTCATACAAGTACTACTTCATGTCTGTGAATGCTGCAGATCGTGAAGACAGCCCTGTCATGGCACTGCTGCTGCAGCAGTTCAAAGAAAACATCCAGGAGTTGGTTTTTCATACAAAAACCGGGAAACAGACCAGAACTGGTACCAAGCGCAGGGTATGATCACATATGGAAATGAGTACAGAATTTGTGAAACTTTGTGTTCTTTACCCATTTTTAATACAGGAAAGAATTAGATATGGTGTTTTAAAAGACTGGGCAGCAGTAAGGCTTAAGTTGTCTTCATTTTTTGGAAAATGCTTCTGTTTTAATTAATAATTAATTAATTATAAACCATTTTCCACAAGAGAACTTGTTAAACAGTATTAACTAATAAATTACCAGTGTTTAGGTCAGTATTTACTTGATAAACATTCATTTTGGTTAACCCTGAGCATTATTACAGTAGTTTAACTGCCTTAACAAATTGCATCACATATACGTTTTTTACTTTTTTTTTTACTGTGTTCTTTACTTAAATTCTAGTTGTCTGATGATTCATGTCCAGTAGAATTCAAGAAAACCAAACGAGCAGGAGAAATGTGTGCCTTCAATAAAGCTCTAGCTCACTTTGTTGCCATGTGTGATACAAATATGCCATTTGTAGGACTTCGGTTGGAGGTAATTTTTTGAAACAGTTCTGAATACTCTAAATGAAAGAGTAATTTCTAAAATGTGTTGCTAAAGTTACATGGATTCCATTAAGAGAACCAGAATGGTTGTGATCCTGTTTATTTTGGGAGAGGTGGGGTTGCAATCATAGCATATCATGGTATACATATAAAACTTGACTTAAACTATTTAATCTCTCTAATTCCAGATTCTGGGCCTTCTGCTCAATTTAAAAAAAAAAGGACAACTTTTAAGAATTAACATCTTTTATACCTCTTAGTAGGAATATTGTTTAAGCCTATTAGAAATGGTTAGTTGATAAAGGGGTGGCTTATTTTTGACTTGGTGAAGCCATGCATATTGCTTAAGCAGTAATAAAACTGGGCTCCTTTTGGAGAAACAGGTCGGAAAGAATATTAAATTTTTACTTTTATCACATGGAGGAAGCAATAGACTTAGCAGAATTAGTGTCTTTCAAGAATACACAATTGTGATATCCAGCATTATTCCTAAACATGAAAGTAAAGGAAGATAATAGAACTTGGGCTTTTAATATTTCCAAAAAGATGTTTGGCCAAGGATTGGCAACCCTTCAAAAGTGATACATTAAAATCCTAATTATTTCCCTCTAGTTTAAAGTTTTACTTGTTGTGAGAATCCCCTCAATATGTTATTATGAATGAAGAAGAGACTTGGAAATGTAGAAATGGACTTTTTCAACTGGACTGATGATGATGGCCTTGGAAAGACTCGTTGAAATAGCCTTCATGCTTTAGAACAGGGGTTGGCAAACTTTTTTTGTAAAGGGCTAGAGAGTAAATATTTTAGGCTTTGTGGGTCATACAGTCTCTGTTATAGCTACTCACATCTGCAGTTGCAGTGTAAACCAGCCATAGTTTATATTTAACAAATGAACGTGGTTGTGTTTCAATAAAACTTTATTTGGAAAAATAGGCAGTGGGCTGGATTTGGCCTGTGACCTGTTTTTTGCTAACACCTGCTTTAGGGAGCTTTGGGATCTGCAGTCAGAGGATAAGGTGTGAAATTGTGAAGAGCAGCGATAGCCCAGAGAGAAACCCAAGCCCAGAAACAGGCACCTGAAATAGGTACTCATGTTCTTGATGTCCCAGCTCCTAGAATTGTGAGTTTGATGAATATCCTCTTATCTGGGTAGTGGCCATAGCTCTTAAGCTCTACAGAGAGTGTCCATATTGAGTGTGTCCTTGGACTCTCATTGTGGTATTTGGATTGATTACACAAATGTCCTTCAGTTATTACCTTTGCAGTGGGAAGGGAGGATACATGGTGCCAGGGCAATGCAATACATTTATGTCCTCTCCTACCCATAGGCAAGAATTCACAAAAATGTGTCTTTGTATGCTCACATACACTAATGCCTGTAGTCATGTCCTCTGTCTCCCTTCTCCCTTCCCTGTCCTCTGTACCTGGTGTACACATAGGACACATAAGAACATTCTGTAGTACTCGGTTGAACTCCAGCTCTTAAAAACTTACCTACTTTTTCTTCTCAGTGAAAATTAGTTATGTTAAAAACAAAAGCAAGCACATTTTCTGCTTAATTTATACTGACATGTGAATAACTAAATCTAATCTTGCCGAGGATGTTTCTATTTCTGATTGATAGAATAGTGGCAACATTTTTGAACTGTCACATACTCCACTTCCTTTTGAATCTGAACCCCTCCTGCCTATTTGGTCAGTAGCTATTTTTCTAAACCTCTACCCCTCCCAGGCCCAAAGAGTAGGGCTCAGCCAAATACTTAGAGCTGCCTTAAATCTTTTCTGGAACAAGGTGGGTATAAATAAATAGTCTGTCATAGAAGACCTGGGAATATCTATCAAAGGTAAACATTTCTTTGGAAGATCAGATGACTTTCTGGCATACCTCACTAACTTGTAGTTCCATGGAAAGGGTTTCAGACAGTGTCCTTGCATTCATCTTTTTTTTTTTTTTGTCCTTTTTGAGACCGGCCGCACCGCGCTCAGCCAGTGAGCACTGTGAGCACACCGGTCATCCCTATATAGGATCCGAACCCACGGCGGGAGCGCTGCTGCGCTCTCAGCGCCGCACTCTCCCGAGTGCGCCGCGGGCTCGGCCCACATTCATCTTTTAAACTTACTTTCTGAATCCATTTGGGGAAGAGATCTCATTGGGTAAATACACAAACTGGAAATCTTTTCTTGGAATTGTTAAAAATAAAAATGTAATAGAATAGTTATAAACTAAAAAAAAATACTGCGAATGATTGGGAATGAGATATGACTGTACCTCAAACTTTGTTTTGAACAGAATTACACAAAACCAGTTTTATTTTGCAGTTGCCTCATTTGCAACCACTAGAATTGATTCTGGATTACTTTTGGCTTGCGGCAAAAATTAGATCAATCTAAATTTTGAAGATTTTCTACCTGTGGAAGTGTTTTTTAAACTAGAGCCTCTGGGGCTGGCCAGTTAGCTCAGTTGGTTAGAGAGCAGCCTTATAACACCAACATCACAGGGTTTGGGTCCCCATACAGGCCAGCTGCCAAAAATAATAATAATAATCTAGAGGCTCTGGGGCAGCTTTGAGTTTCACAGAACTTAACGTAGTTTCCCAGGAAATCCAATGATGTTCATGCCTGATATGTTGTAACTTTGGGAAAGAGTGGCCCTAGAACAAGTGCCATGAGAATAGAGACAATAGTACTTAGAAAAAGAAGTTTCCTTTATAAAACTGGTGGTCTATTATAATTGTGCTTTTCTCTTTCCAGTTGTCCAATCTGGAGATTCCACATCAAGGAGTACAAGTGGAAGGTGATGGCTTCAGCCATGCAATTCGCTTATTAAAGTAAGCCCCTGTCATATGTCTCACTTAGTTGCAGTCACACTGCCAGAGCTCTTCCTCTCCTTCCATGAGGCAGCATAAAGCAGAATTCAGAACCTATGGGTGCCACAAATTTCTGCACAGAATTACAAAGGTCTGGGAGAAGATTCTCTTAAACCTAAGGAGTGTCAGTCCAGCACCACTTGGTATTTTAGGATGTCTTTGCTCTGCATTTCTTTCATTGAACACATTTATTGAGTACAACTATGTGTCAGGCTTGAATTTCTGATAGGGGACTTCAGGATCCTGGGGGTTTGTGTAGCAGGGGGATGTGGACTAGTTCAGAAGTCAGGAAGGGTATCCCTGAGGAAGTACTAGTTGTACTCAGACTGAAGGAGAGGTGAGAATTAGCCAGGGGAAATGGAGGTAGGGTGGGAGTGGGAGTGAGAGATTCTAACCAGAGGGGATAACTGCTGATGTGAGTGCTTGGTGGCAAGAAAGAACTAGCATCGTGGAGCTAAAAGGAGTTCAGCACGGCAGGGAGGTAGGAGAGATGGGGCTGGAGATGTAAGCAGGAAGGGGTGAGATCCTGTAGGCCTTTGTAAGTGTCCTCAAGCAATTTAGACTTTATCCTAATGGCACTAAGAAGCCATCAGATTATTTTAAGTAGAAACTGACATCATTAGATAGGTGTTTGAAAGCTCAACCTGATAGCAATATGAAGAACAGATTGGAGGGGAACAAGACAAGTAGCAAAACCAGTTACAGAAATGGTTCTCAGAGTTACTGGTAGCTTAGACTAGGATAGATTTCACAAGGACTTAGGAGATGAAATATTCAAGAGTTGATGATTAGATTGATGTTGGAGGTGAGAAAGAGTGAGATGGCAAAGATGATTCTTAGTTTTATCTTGCCAAATGATGGGTGGTGGTGGTGTTTTCTGAGATAAGGGACACCAAAGATGTGAGTTTGAAAGGACTTTGCTACATTTGAGGTACCTAGACACCTTTTGGGCAGGCAGGGATGTGTCTGAAGCTCAGGTAACAGGTCTGGGCAGAAGTAGATAAAGGCATCAACTTGGTGATAGTAATTGAACTAGGGTAGTAAATTACATCACCAGGAAAGAGTATACAAAAGGAGATTGGCAGAGGGCTTGGTTCTAAATGGACAGAGGATACTTATAAGTAAAGCTGATATACATGTGCCTTATAAACAAAGTGATCCAGTATGGACTTGGCAAAGCTAGAGCACCATCTAACAGACCAACCTTTTTGGTCCAGAAAACAGGGTTTTTTTTTAGGGGGTGGGGGGGACTCATTGTTTCTTAGGTGTTGCTTAACAATATAAATTATATAAGCATTTTTTATTTATTGAATTCCTCTGTCTGCCAAGATAAGGCACCTCTGCAATTCGAGCAGTGCGGCTTTAGCTTTTGTTACCTAGGTTTCAGTTTGTTTCTGTGGAAGATGGAAAGGGCTAGCAAACAGAGTGCCCATAACCTATGTGTCATGGTGCTCACTTTAGATACTCAAGAGTTGAAGAACTAGAATATCTCCTCTTCCTGGCTGTCTATCCTAACACCATCCCTACAAAAAGTTTTCAGGAGAAAAAGAGCTGGTTTTATAATGGAAATCAGTAGGAAAATGTAATACTTTTAATTGATTTTATATTGCTTCGTCTAAAATATGTTATTTTTTTTCTTTTTACTACTCTTGACAACTGCAGATAAGGTTGATGATGTTAACATTTGTATTCTGTTCTTTCATATTTCTCATAATTTGCAAGATTTTAAAAATATCTTGTTTTCAGTATTTTTACAAGAGCAATTTGAGTCCCCTTTTGTGTGGAACTCAAGAGCTCTCGTGAGTCCTACCTAAAAAGAAAGCACTTCATAATTTTTAGTTTCATTTTACAGTAATTTCTAAAGAAAGTGTTTAATCCTGGTTTGTGTTTTATTTATTTAAAACTTAAAGAAAATATATAGAAATGGATAAATTAAAGATATGTTTGTCTGGTAAATGCTGCCCATTATCAGGGTAAGATATAGAAGTGAAGAAGGAAAAAGTAGTTAATGTCTCAACATGATTGATTAAGTTAAAATTCTTCATAGATCCAATTAGTATATACTTGCTCTGATACATTTAATCTTCACAAACTCTTTTAAGCTTTTAGTCCTAGATATGTTAATATTAAATAAGAGTATGAGTTGATACTTCAAAGCTTAAAATTGGGCATATTTTCCTCCTCTTCACTGAAAATATGTTCTGTTCTTGTCCAACTTTATCTCCTTGAAAATCTGTTGAGCAGGACTCCTTGATGCATCTCTGAAATGATAGTATCAGATGTATCATAGCTCTTTCCATTGCTGTGATTCATGGACCCGTCACCTTGCACAAATTCAGAGGAGCCTTGATCCTGTGGAGCAAATGAGGCTTGAGAGACAAGTTTCAAGATCAGCATGTTCATGGCACCTAGTTCTAAGTTCTTGAGCAAACCTCCCACCTTCTCCTGAACTCACATTATAGCTATGGGCAGTAATACTATTCCTCTGGCCACACCCACAAGGGTTTTTATTTATCTCATTCATTGTGTTTTTTTGTCTCTTGTAACTTATGCTGATAACGCACAGGCATAGCTCTTTTTTGTGAATTGTGTGATCCAGCTTGTCCTTCTGCATGCACATGTGCAAACTGTATAAAACCCTCTTAACTTTCCTTTTAGTCACACTTGTGCTTCTTTTACTAGGACTTTCAGTGACCTCCCTGCTTTTGCACTATGGGGCCATAATGTTTTAATGTTGTTTGTAAAAATCCTCAGAATGAAGCTGATACACATCTGCCCTAGAGGACCATAGCCTGGTTCCTCAGTTTGTCCAGTACTCAGAAGTACAGGAGAAAAATTAGTCAGAAGCAGCTGTTTAGATTGAAAAACTTTTTGGATTGTAGAAATTTTCCAATAAGGTTAATACATTGTCCAGAAAAATGTCTTCCTCAGTTCTTAATTTTTGGCTAATATAATAGTATTTTGCAGTATTTCAAGTTTGTAACAATTTTTTCAGATTTCCTTTTAGGAAACCTGTTCCTCGCCCCCCGCGCCCCCCCCCCCAACATGATCATGCTGAGAAGATTAAAATTATAATTGTAGTTTATTTTTATTTTCTCTCTTACCTTCATAACCTTACAAGCAAATAAATATTTTACAGGTTCCTTGGAGTAGAGCCAATTATATCTGTATCACAGATTAAGAAATTGACATTGACATGGAGTCAACTTTCAGGGTGCTCCTATTCCTGAGAGCATAAATTGAAAGGAGTCTTATACTTAATTTAGTTCTTACTTAAAAACCTGCCAGTTTCTGTGCTTTCATTTTCTAACCAGATGGATTTCATGAGAAACCTGTTTCATGTGATAGGGAGATAATGTATTACATTTATATTTTCAAACTCAACATTTTTAAATCTATCTGAATTGGCTGCTTTATAACTCCTATGAAGAGGGTTATGTTGTGAGGGGTGAGGGCAGGCAAGTTCTCAGTATACTCGTCAAGTTGAAGAACATCAATGCAATTTATGTAGTTTCTGTGATAATTACCCAAAATAAAGTTGGACAAAATCTTTCTGCTGATGATAAAAAGTATGTAGTATGAAAGATGAACTTTTGAAAACTTTAAAAGCTGTATATTGAAGAGGAGCTATGGTAAGTTTTAATTGAGAAAATTTCAGTAGTATGTTAATTTTTTAAAGTAATTTGCATACCTTTCTTTTCCCCTACAAATTTTATTTTTACCACATGCAATTTCTTTCTCTTTTTTGCTCTCAAGTTGTTTGTTCTAAGTCAGTGGTTCTCAACCCTAGGATGATTTTGCCCTCCGGGAGATATTTGGCAATATCTGGAGATATTTTTGCTTATCATTAACTGAGAAGAGGGAGTGGGAGGTGCTACTGGCATCTAGAAGGTAGAGTCCAGGGCTGCACAGGACAGCTCTCCACAACAAGGAATTATGCAGCCCAAAATGTCAGTGTTGCCAAGATTGAGAAACCTTGTTTTAGGTGTTGTATTCTGAATAAGAGGACTCAACCAAGATTTCGTAATTCTGATGATATTTGTTGTGTTTTCTTCCCTTGATATAGAAAATCATTATACCAAATCTGAGAATTAACCACCTTCCCTATAAATTAAGGGATAATGTGTAATTAAATAATATATTCTCTCATTATTTCATATTTCATCTATTACGAAATAACTCATTAACAGCTAAAATACATTACCTCATAATGTTTTATGACAAATGAGATGGTCCATAAAGCTGTAGAAGGAAAATGAATGGGTAGGTATTTTTAAGACACCAAAGCTACTACATTTCTTTTATATATGTGATATATATGTGACAATCTGTATGTTAAATTAGTCAATACAAATGAAGCTCCATCACAGTGAGGGTTACCCAAACAGAAGAGGAGGAGGCAAAGGGAGGATAATGAACCCAGAATTTTGTCATGGCAATTCAGTCAGTGACCAAGATTTGGTTTTACTACAAGGGGAGATTAACATATTAGTACCTGCTCTATCAGCCACCATAAACACTTTCTCTATGTTTTCTCATTTTTTAAATCAATGACCCATAAAGTAATTCTTTATCTCCATTTTATAGTTGAGAAACTGAAATTTAGAGAGGTTACTTGTGGCTGAGTCAGAATTAGAATGCAGGTCTCTGACTCCAAAGCCCTTATTCTTTATACTGTATCGTCCTAACTTCAAAGAGTGGTTTTACAACTACAGTTGACCCTTGAACAACACAGGTTGAACTGTGTGAGTCCACTTAATACGTGGAACCCACTTCAGTGGATTGCTGCCTTTTTGTTTGTGTGGATTCCACAGTGTCAGCTACTTAAGTACTTAACTACTTGCGTAATGACATGGGGAAAGTTATATGCAGGTTTTCAACTTGGAAGGGGAGGTGTTGTGCCCCAACTCCCTCCCCCACCCCCACCCCCCGATGTTCAAGGTCAACTGTATTCTGTTCACCTTAGCTTTTCCTTGAGGATATTCTAGATAGATTTTGTAGGAAACCAGTATTCTTGATTTTCAATCTGTGGAATTGTGGTCTTTTTATACAACAACATTATGGATTAAAGACAAACATCACTTTGTTAAAGTGAATCTTAATCCATGTTGATGTGAATGGAAATGGGTTAAATGCTGTTAATTGCAGTGAATTGCTTCCTTCCTTTGCAGAAAGTATCTAGAAATAGTTTGAACTGAAGCTCTAATGTCATACCCTGCCTGTCATTGTATATATTGTGCTTTGTCTTTCTGTGTAAAGTACACTTCATATGCTATCTTTCGTCACCAGAATTCCTCCCTGTAAGGGTGTAAATGAGGAAACCCAAAAGGCTCTGGACCGCTCTCTCCTTGATTGCACTTTCCGATTACAAGGTAGAAATAACCGCACGTGGGTGGCAGAGTTAGTGTTCGCAAATTGTCCACTTAATGGCACTTCTACCAGGGAGCAAGGTAAGATGTTTCACGTACTTCGTCTTTGCATACTTCTAGATTTTTTTTAGTATTTATTATCATTAACGTTCTCTTTTAATCCTGTAGGACCATCCCGGCATGTTTACTTAACATATGAAAATCTGTTGTCTGAACCTGTTGGTGGTAGAAAAGTGGTTGAAATGTTTCTTAATGACTGGAATAGCATTGCACGATTATACGAGTGTGTGTTGGAATTTGCACGTTCTCTACCAGGTACCTGTGGTAATCTTCCTTTTATATTAAAAAAAAAAGGTCCCCCGCCTTTAACTGAAGAAGCAAAACCTGCACATCATTAAAAAAAGAAATCAGAAGTATTTCTAATGAAAATAGTGTCCCTTTTACCTCAGACTTCAGTTTCCCTCCCTCAGAGACAGCCACTGTTAAGTTTCTTTTGTTTCCAGAAATTTGCACACACAGGTATACCATGTTATAATAATAGTTAGTACTTATTTACTGTGTACCATACAATATATAGTAGTCCCCCTTATCTGCAGAGTTGCTTTCTGCAGATTACCCGTGGTCAATTGTGGTCTGAAAATATCAAATGGAAAATTCCAGAAATAAACAATTCATAAGTTTAAAATTGCATACCATTCTGAGTAGCATGATGAAATCTTGCACTGTCCCAGGTGGGATGTGAATCATCCCTTTGTTCAGCATATCCATGCTGTATATGCTCCTGGCCAGTTATTCACTTAATAGCCATCTAGGTTATTAGATCAACTTACCAGATCACTGTTTTGGTAGCAGTGCTTGTGTTCAAGTAACCCTTATTTTACTTCATGATGGCCCCAAAGCACAAGAGTAGTGATGCTGGCAATTTGGATGTGCCAAAAAGAAGCCATAAAGTGCTTGTTTTTAAGTGAAAAGGTGAAAATTCTTGACTTAATAAGGAAAGGAAAAAAGTTGTATGCTGAGGTTTCTCATAAGAACGAATCTTCTGTTCATGAAACTGTGAAGAAGGAAAAAGAAGTTTATGCTAGGTTTGCTGCTGCACTTCAGACTACAAAAGTTATGGCCATAGTGCACGGGAAGTGCTTAGTTAAGATGGAAAAGGCATTAAGTTTGTGGGTGGAAGACATAAATAGAAACATGTTCAATTGATGGCAGTCAGGTTTGGTACTATCCATGGTTTTAGGCATCCACTGTGGGTCTTGGAACATATCCCCCATGGGTAAGGGAGGAGGACTACTGTGATAAACAGTTTCCTTATATTGACTTATTTAATCCTCACAATCACCCCATGAGGGAAGTATTATTTCTCATTTTAAGACTAAGAACTTTGCTGAAGGCCACATAGCTAGTAAATGGCAGAGCTAGAATTGGAGCCCTTTAACCACTGTGCTAGACTGCTTCAGTATATCTCCCTCCTACCCTGGCCCCCTTTTGTAGAAATGAAAGCATGCTATCTATTTATGCTGTTACTTTTTTTTTTTTTTAAACTAAATTACTTATTTAGAGACCTTTCTATCTAGGCATATAACGTTGACAAAATGCCCTCTTTTTCAAATTTATATTTTAAAATTTTACATATATATTAATCTCCTTTTTGTTTCCTTTCTGTTTAGACATACCTGCTCATCTAAATATTTTCTCAGAAGTTCGTGTTTATAATTACCGAAAACTTATCTTGTGTTATGGAACCACCAAGGGAAGTTCAGTAAGTCTGTGAATTAAGAATCTGAAGTTCCTCTCTTATAAATCTTTTAAAAATCAAGCACTCAAAAAAAAATGAAAACTGTCTAAAAATCAATAAGGGCTTAAGTAAAAATCGGGGATAAAATGGTAAATTTTAAATGCTTTGTTGATATGAATATACTATAATATACCACAATGTTTAACTCTTTAAAATTGAAAACAAAAATAATACTCTCTGATGGGGTATATGATCTTGAAGAATTTTGGACAGGGTGTTGTACTTTTGTTGTTTGTATTTTTTTCTTCACTGATTACAAATCTGCTTGGCAACATGATTATTGTAAGGAAGATTATGTACAAATGGTTATGAACAGTATGTTATGTCGCTTTTGTTTACATGAATGTTAATGTTTGATCCTATCTTAATCTTGAAGGTATTCTCTGTAATCTACAGTTCCTTATTTTTTCCCACCCCATATATAAAGTCCTAGAAATTTAGTATAAAAATTCAGCCAGCTGGCTTCTTTCTAGACTCTTCCACATCAAGTTATGTCAGAAAAAACTTGAGCGTTTTAAAATCTGTTACCCAAATGCATCTGTGTTGGGGGTGGCTTCTTTCCCCTTTATGACAGTGCTCTGTAGTTGATGGTACCAAGAACGTGACTCTTCAGTTCAAGAGAAAAATGAAACACAATGATCATTTTCAAATAACAGTTTAATCAAAATTTTTTCTTTAGTGCATTCTCTTTCCATTTTATTTAGTAGAAGAGGGCTAACAAATACATGCTCAGGTAATGTACTGGTCCATATTAACAGCACATCTGGAGTTTGAGTCCAGTCTTATTTTATTACTTATTTTCAAAAAAGACCTATTGGATCTTTGGCATTTTGCCTTACTTTTAACATTTTTTCTTCTACTTGAATCTATTACTTTATGAGTTACTGAAGCATGTAATCTCTTTGATTTAGATTAGTATCCAATGGAATTCCATACATCAAAAATTTCACATTTCTTTGGGAACTGTTGGCCCAAACTCAGGTTGCAGTAACTGTCATAATACCATTCTCCATCAGCTTCAAGAAATGTTCAACAAAACACCAAATGTGGTTCAGTTATTACAGGTAATTAAGTTTATTTTCTGTCTAAAAATAAAACCTAATGTCTCATGCAAAACTCCTCAAAAATTATAGGGACTTATTTGTCTTCAATGACTAAAGTGGGTACCTTTTCTTTGATATCTTTAACACTTCTTAGAGAATTTTCTTTGATTCAGAGAGGATATAGTGACCTAGTTTGCATTCTCTTCAAGGGACAGTTTTGTGGAATGTGCCAGAAGGACATTGTCTCATTTATGACAATTATATATTGAAAATTCTGTAGTTTTAGCATTTGTACAGAAACTGGCTGCTCTCACTATGTTTATTCCTTATAGGTACTGTTTGATACTCAGGCTCCATTAAATGCCATCAACAAACTCCCCACTGTGCCGATGTTGGGCTTGACCCAGAGGACCAATACTGCCTACCAGTGCTTCTCCATTCTGCCACAGTCTTCCACCCACATCAGACTGGCCTTCAGGAACATGTATTGCATTGATATATACTGCCGGAGTAGAGGTGTTGTGGCAATACGGGATGGTGCCTATAGTCTTTTTGATAACAGCAAGTTAGTTGAAGGTTTTTATCCCGCACCAGGACTAAAGGTAACAGATTTTAGTGTTATAGTATGAGTAAACATAAAAATGATCTCTAAAACAATTCCTTTGAGAGGGAAATAATGGGGAAAAGCAACAGGTTTTTGTTGATAAAGTACTGTTCCTGTGTATACAAAGTGATTAAAAATCCTTTATTTCTTACCCTGTGATGAGTAGGGTGGAAGATGCTGAAGAGAGTTGTATTTGCTATTTAGAATTTAAAGGAACTTTAAAAGTAGTCTTTGTCATTGATTACTGAAAAGGTTTAGTCATCCGTTTAACTGTGATGCTTTTTGAAAATGTCAGGTCCTGGGCAACAACCCCTGGAGATTCTGGTGTGATAGCTCAGTTGTATGTGTTTATATTTTAGAGTCAAATAGTTCCAAAGATTTGTTTTAAAAATAGTCTCCTATAACCTACTCTTGACAATTTTCTGCTCCCCAGACACACCTGTTTCAAGTCTTACATAGCTGATTCTCTTGGTATTTATGCCCATATCTCTAAGTAGCATGCTTATATTGCTATTTGTTGACTCTTTGGTTGAGGGCATTATCTAATTCTTACAGTGGAAGATGAAGATTTAATTCTTTTTAAATTCTTTTTTATGTACCCTTTCCCCCTTCCAGGCAGCTTGAAGTACATAAACATATTCTTCCTTTTCTCCTGTCTTTGTAATGTGGTTAGTAGCAATTTTGATTAGATAATTTTTTAGTGTTTGCATAATTATGAACATGTAAACACTGTTGCACCAAGCTTACTATGATTACTTTTTCTTTCTTTTTCAAAATTTTATTTTGCTGGAATTATTAATTGGCTTTTTTGGCTTAGCTTTCTCTGTATTTATCATTAACTCAACCTTAAACACTCTCCCAGTTATGTGACTCTTTACTCAGTGTATTCAAACATATCAGAAACCTTACTGATTTCATCTTGAAGAGGTCTCTCCCACAATCTTCTGTCTACTCCAATTTAGATTGGTAGCATGCCAGGCCTTGTGCATAATTTTGACTTAGGAATCTGGAGAAAGATGAAGGGGTACATTCCTTCACTTCTCTCTTGTGTTGCATGCCCTGTGGCTTAGACCCCATGTCTTTTTCTTGGTTTACTTCATTGTTTTGGTGGAATACCTTCTACAGTAGCTTCCTGGGAGAAGGTACATTGGGAGGTTAATTTGAGACCTTACATGTCTGAAAGTGTCTGTAGTTTATTCACCCTCATCTAATTGAGAGTGGCTGGATGTAGAATTCTAGGTGGCAGTCATTTTCTGTAAAAATTTTGAAGGCTTTGCTTCATTGTCTTTTATCATTTCTTGTTACTGTTGAGGTGCTTAATGCTGTTCTAATTCTTAAACCTTATGTGACTGAGTGGACTCTTTCAATCTGAACACTTACATCTCTTTTGCTGTGGGAAATTTCCTTGCATTATTTCTCAGTCTTCTCCTTTGTTTTCTCTCTTAACTGTTTCTGGTACCCCTGTTATTCTGATGTTGGGCATCCTGGAATTGTCCTCTAATTTTCTTATTTCTTCTATTCTTTTTTTTTTTTTTTTTTTTTTTTTTTTTTTTTTTTTTTTTC